GCCGAGTCGTAGTTCGGTTCTTCGGAATCCCCGCGTCCTGGTTGGAGCTCGACGTAGCGCGATCGCTGCCGCGACTACTACCTGCCATCTCGGCCAGCGAACAAACCGAGGAGGATCGTTCGACGTCCAACCTTCGATCGGCCGAGCAATTCGTATTCGTATCGCGTGAATGCGTCGAGCGGAAAGAAAAGATACCGGTAGGTTACTTACGAGCAGCTTTGACTGGGAGAACTCCTATCGCGAGTTTCTCGACCAAACGCCCTCTTCTTTCTTCGAGCGACGATCTCCGTGTCGAATCCGAGCTTCACCACCTCGTCGTAGCCAGGTGGTGCTTCGTACACCGGCGGGTCGTCCGACACCGTGATTTCGTCGATTCGCGCTCCGTCTGCAATATCGAAAACTGTCGAAAGTGACGGTGAGAGAAATCGACGATGACCGCCGGTCTATCCACGCTCTACCGACGATGACTGCCGTATTAAACGTACATGGTAACTGTCTTCCTACCTAGAAGCTCGCTGATCGTTTGCAGTCTTGACTGAAGTTCTCTTTGCTGCCTGGCTCTGGCGCCCATTCTGTACAGCAAGATGATCAGCGCCGATATCAAGACGATCAGTCCGAGGCTGCTCGCCACGAACACCAGAGTAGCCGTCTTCAGGTCTGGGTAACGATCGATCTTTGGAAAGTAGTAATTCGCCTTGTTCGCGTGCCATTTTCGATCCTGAGGTTCCAGCTCCCAATCTACGAGACGATATTCGCGTCGGACAAAACGAAACCGAAACTCTTTAAACGATTGCGTTTATATACCTTGAAAGCAGGTTGCCGGTTCGTCGCTGTTGTCGCCGCAGTGATCGAAACCGTCGCAATTCAGCTGACTCGTTATGCATCTGTGATTGCGGCAAAGAAAGTCCGATCCCGCGAAACAGTCTGCGAATGATCGGACGAGAGGCAATGACGAATCGATCGGGATGAGGATTCGCGAAGGTTGCGCTCACCCATGTAACTGAAGGCCGCGTAGGCAATCGCCAGGTGCGAGGACGAGCCAAACGTTCCTCGTAGACTGACGTGAAAGCCGCTGGTGACGGGAGCCACGTGCTCCCTGTGTCTCGGTGGTTGCACTTGACTCGCTGGATGTCTGAGGATCTCGAGCGGCAAAAGAGCCGAGGTGGGTCCCTGTTTTACCACTAATTCGGTATTGCCGGCTGAAACGAATGCGAAAACGAGTAGAATAATTAAACCGAGTCGCGCGTTTCTTCCAACGTTCGTCCGCAGACACTGTTTCCTATTCTCCACGATAACGGAAAACAAAGTACAGACTAGTACGCGTTTATCCGCTTCTCTCGCTTGTATTTTGTCTTCGACGACGTATACGGATTGTCTGTCTGCGGCCAATCGAAGAAGGGAGAAAAGCAGGAATCACGCGTCTACACTCACCCATGTCCGCGAACGTGATCACCTTCAGATACATATGCGTTTTCATGTGTAAAAAGTTCTTGGGGGGCCTGATCAGCCACACGCAGTCGTAAGTTTTTACCCCTTCGCCCACCATATCCAACATGGTAATCGTGCCGCCAAGATTCTCCACGTAACCGCCGCAGTCGGTTATCGGTTGCACGGATTTGTCCAAGGGATGTCCAATCACGAACGAATAGAATGCCTTGTAACCCAATCCGGTGCCGCCATTAGCGTAGAATCGTATCAGCAACGAAGGGCCGGAGCTCATTATTACCGGTGGCCGAAATCTCGCGCCGCTACTCACGTCCAGTCGTTGACCGTTCCAATCGTAGAACTAGATCGCGCATAACCATCGTCGATATGACAGACGATCGTTTTTGCTTCGGTTAGTTTGCACTTACCTCCATTATCGACACAGTCGCCAGCTGAAAATCACTGAACAGCAACCTGATGCGGCAGAACGGTGCTTCGCTCGGGCAGGTGACCACGTACTCTAAGCCAAGATCGCGAGGATACCGTGCCGGGAAGAACGGAGACGTTAAAATCCCACCGCCGGTGTTGTTCAATCCCTTGGCTGCTTGACCGGTCGCCGTTGTCAATTCGGTACCTCTCAGGTGTAATCTGTTTCCTGTCAATAGATCGCGAACGTATCGATCGATCTTCGATTCAGCGCGCTATTAATTCCGCGATATTCTCGTCAAATTAATCTGCTTACTCTCCGCCGTGTACTCCAGCGTGAACGCGTGCTTGTGCGACTGACTGTAAAGCAGCGTGATCGACAGAGTTCTCGTGCTGGACCTGTACGTGATCGGCGCGTACAATCCGCAAAACGGAGTTCCGGACACATCCTCGTACGGCGGCTCCGAGATCCACACGTAATCACACCTGCGGAAACGAAAACGAAACGCCAAACGAAGGTTGAACGCGTTGACGCCTAACACGCGCGTGCACGTAATTACCTGCACGGGCTATCCAATGTGACGCTGCCGTCGCCGCAGTGATGCGACAACGCGATGCTCTCGAAGGTGACGATTATCACGCAGGACGGACATGTCACCAGCTCGAGATTGCACTGAGCGTGGGAGCTGTTGCTCGTATATACCCGCGAGCCCTCTTGTCTCGGCTCGTTCTTTATCAGCGAGACGTTTCTGGCGTATAAGATACCCTTCTCTCCAAGCTCCAGATACAATCGCCGTCCGTTCTGAGCTCCGCAGATATCCTCATTCCGGACGATGTTACCTTCACCCGTTACCACGATCGACCACCATAGAGATATGCCTGCAATCGCTTTTAGCGCTAGCATCGCGCGTTTTCGATGCCCCTCCTCTATCTATCTCGACACGCGCGAATACCGTATGCGTTTTCAAGATTTCTCGATCTAGATCTTATCGAGCCGAAACCGATGGAACATCTTCTATCGACGGTAGGGAACGTTCTGCCTTTCGAGAAACTACCATCGCGATTACGCACATAATTTCATTAGTTCGCAACACTGTTACGTACCTCCTTATTACGGTATAAAGCATTTTTATGGTATCCTTTGCACGGTTCTCCTCGCTCTATACCACCCCCTCCTATCTCCGTCGTTTACAACCTATACAAACAGATATTTCACGCAACTTTCCATCGCCCTATCAATTTCTTATTGTCCAAGTAATGTATAGCAATAACGATTGCCTACGCCGGTACTTCTACTTTCGTTTACGTTTTGGACGAATATGCCTTCGTATAGATCTACAAGTTCGATACATCCGAACCAATCGATCCCATTCTTTTATTACCTGATTCGACAAATCAATTTCCGTGAACATACGCGTCCGTTCGACGACATATTCACGATAGATCTCGAATACCTCCTTCCAGTCTGCCATCGTGTTATCGTACCGCGCGCCAGCTATGCTTTCAAACTTTACTTGCAAGAAGTAACATCAGATGTCTCTGGAAGAAACAGAGAGCGTGTGCGCGCGCCTGTGTGTTCGCGTGCGAGTGAGAAAGAGAGAGAAAGGAGCTAGGTTGTCGCTCGCTATCAAAACAAAATATGAAAAAGAACGAATTGTTGTCTGAGCCGCAAGAGTACTCCGATAATATGTCAAATATAGATCTTGCTATTAATTTGGAAAGGCAAAAATTTCCATTTTGTATAGTTTGGACACCTCTACCGATTCTGACGTAAGTAGAGAAAAATAACCTCAATCGGTGGCACGCTGGAATTCTTATATAGTACGAATCGATCGATATATGATATATCTGCGTTGCTGATTTCGCAATATCTCCCCTTATCGCAACCTCAAAGCGTTTGCCTTTGTTTCGTTGTGAAGATATTTCTTACCGATCATTGGTCACGTGGGGATTGCCACTTCTACCGGTGTGATACGAGACTTTGCTGGTCCGTATCACGTTGCGGAAGATAATATGACGTTTGGGAAGCCCACGAAATACTTGCAGTTGAACTATACCAAAGCCAAAGGAGGCGTTCAGGGATGGGATTCTGCTGTCGCACATGCGAGTGAAATCTATCAAAATAGGATGGTTAGTGCTTAAGCTTGTTCTAATCTTCACAATTATTTTTCTCCAAGACTACGTCCATCTTCTTCACAGCACAATTTATGCTGCGACAACTGTCATTCTCACGTAGCTACAGCGTTAGACCTAATGTCGTATGATAATTCGAATAATTGGAATATGGTAAAGGTTGCGTTGTTTATGCTTATCTGGGGAAAGTATGTAAGGTAAGAGAAGATTCGACGTCGACGTCAATGCTACTGAGCATCTTAGAACGCACCTGTCTTTTTTCAGTTTTTCAGGTTTTCTTAAAACTTGGATGCCATTTTATCTTCTGGTGTTCGTCATCACCACGCTTTGTCTGGTACTACGATAATACACACGATATTTGTACAATACATTTTCTCTGCTGTTCGTAAGTGACGTTCGCAATCGATTCGCTACCAAACGTTGACAGGTGTATGTCGCGTTGAAAGAATCAATCGTCTGGTGATGCTTAATATTTATTAAAAGCACTTATTAACACATTAAAATTATACATCCGATACAAATGTACAAACTCATAACATATAATATAGAGTATACTTAAAATTATGAATAAGTGCTATGTTACAAACGCGCGTACAAAAACTTAGTCGCGTATTTTCTTTATCGAATAAATTTGTGCTCGTGCATTATCGAGCGTGGGTGAAGGTAATTTGGTTTAGTTTCTTTTCTTTGTTTTCCTTTCCTTCGTTAAACCACGAGTAGAAAGTACGCGTTTAATTACGAACGCATTAATCAAAGTAACGAGTGTAATGGTGGTTTAGACGATCTCGTGGACATTGCGCGTTGGAAAGGAAATCATTCGTCGCTTCTACTATTCATTTCTGCCATGATGCTTTCTTCCAACGAGAAACTATAATCGTAATTTCGATTTTCTATTCTCTCTATAAAAGACAAAATCTCGCTAATTCTAAGTTGGTCTATCTCGAAATCGTTGCTCGCGTTAATCTCCAGACGTTTGCACAATTTAAATGGAACTCCGTTCAAATAGTGCGGTGCGTTCTCTCCTTGATTATAGTCTTTGTGCAATTCGGGCGGTAAACCTTGGCCAAAGTTTGGAACAGGAGGAACGTACGGATATAAATTACTACTAGAATGCGTAGCCGCGGTGTTGTGGCTTGTATCCATTGGCATTGCTGGGGGCATTGAAATGATATCGAATCCATCGCTTTGACTCGATGACTGTTCTTCTTCCGTCGAATCGGGAGGCGAGTCCTTATGTCGTTTCTTCTTTCCGAATAACCAAGACATTTTTAGCGAATGCGATGCAGCGAAATAGCAACGACGATTACTCCAACGTATCTCGAAAGGCGGAAGAGGTTATCTGTGTGAAAAAAACTTGGCAACCTAACCAATCTCGACCAATGGACATAGGTAAGTTTTTGAAGACGCGTGACTTGAATATACAAAGTGATTCACTCGACACGAGTCAGCGAAAAATGAAAAAAGAAATACTCACGTACAATGGATTTAGGAACAGAAGAACGAAACGTAGGTCTACAAGCTACCCATAATCGATCGATGGTTAAGGGCCGTAGCATCAACGATATTTCTCGTCATCTTGGTTTAAAAGAAGTAAGCAAACAAGAGTAAAGTCCGTCGTTCGCATTTGTAACGCTCTATATTAACTGGGAGAATAACTCGAACAACTTTTATTTAGACCGATTGAGAATACAGCGTTTCGTTAAATGTTGGAACTATATTGCGAAAACAGATTATTTCGAAGATTGATTGGCAGATGGCAGCATCGTGGCAAACCTAACCCAAACTGAATATTACGCGGCGCAAGCGTTCGAGTAAACGGACTGGGGTTAGGAGGTGGATCAGAAGGAGAGGAAGAGAGAGCTGCGCAACGTCATCGCGGTAATCCTTGTCGCGTTCGAGGCCGTTCAAGATACAGCAGTCGCGGTAGTTGGCAAGACTGCAACGATCCGCGAAGTTGTAGGTTAGAGATAGCTTGTACAAGTAGCTAGACGACGACATCGTGAAATCGCGAGCAGCGATGAAGCGTTGAGGAGCAATCGTAGAAAGTTTAATCGACAATTTGTACGCGTGGAACGGTGTCACTGTGTATACAAGGTGTTTCCAAGAGGTACACGTCGTTCGACGGAATCCAATTTACGCGTTCCTCGTGTCTCACGAAACGCATGCGTGCTACCAAGGTAACCAAGTGCATCTGGCAATAATCGGACGAGCCGTTATAGTTGAACAAACCACGTCGAGGTAGCAGCGCGATCGCATTGTTTTTATGTTTCTCGTGTGTGTACATGCCATGCATATACGCTCTGTGTAAGGCGTATCGCGAGTGTCTCGCGAGTGATCAGCGTTTCTTCCTTCTACGCGTTCGCCGTTTTTCTCGAGTGTTCATACTAAAAGCGAGATTACACCGAGTGCCATCGCGAGACATTGGTTACGTTCGTGGTTCGCAAAGGTGTGGCAGCGTTAAGCCAGTAAGTCTTGGTGTTGGATTTGCGCGGTACCGACCATTGCTGGCTGTTCTCTTCGCTACTTCTTCGATGCGTTCTCCTCCTCCACTTCCTCCCCCTTCTTCTCCTCCACCTCTTCCTTTTCTCTTTTTTCTTCTTTCCTCTTTCTTTCTATTTCTTCTCCAATTTTCTCGGTCCTCCCTATTTCTCTCTTCTTTCTCGCTGTTTCTCCGTCCACAATCAATCTTCCGTATCTTTTCTCCTCTTGCCTTCACGTCACACGCACGCACGCACGCATGCACGCATGCACGAACTCACGCACATATGTGTGCGCGTGCTTCCATACACAGACACTCATCTATCTCTCCTCCCCCCTCCCCCCGTTTCTCTCTCTCTCTCTCTCTCTCTCTCTCTCTTTCTCTCTCTCCCTCTATCCATTCTCTCTATGCGTTCCAGCTTGCTGGAATATTGAAATCGAACAGCCGTGTTTTCGAGCATCATCCACGTATTC